AATGAATTAAATATTACAAACATGTACATTTTAGTTGCCAGGATTAGTTAGGCTTTCTATGAAGGCCCAGAAGGCCCCAAGGGTTCTCATCTGATAGCAATACAGGCAAACATTATTAATCTCCATTGAAATTAGAAGGTTAAAGCAACAACAAAAAGAACTGTGCAAAAACACACATGAGTCATTTAATGAAAAGAGCACATAGTATTTGATGCATATAAAAGAAAAAATGTGCAAATAAGTGTTTTTTTTTTAAGCTTAAACATATGAATTGAAAGTCCACCATTTACACAGTGCATTAAAAATATTCAGGATTTTTTTTTATGTCTGTAGACAGTCACTGAATGTAGACAGTCACTGAATTTCTAAAATATTACTCAATAAAAATTTCATCAACATTAGTACAAGTAAAATACACCGACCACTTCATTAAGTACACCTCCTTGTATCTACACTCTTTGTCCATTTTATCAGGTCAATTTACCATATAGATGCACTTTGTAATTCTACAATTACTCATTGTAGTCTGTTTCTCTGCATACTATTTCAGCCCCCTTTCACCCTGTTCTTCAATGGTCAGGACCCTCACAAGACCCCCACAGAGCAGGTATTATTTGGGTGGTGGATCATTCTCAGCACTGCAGTGACACTGACGGTGTGTTTTGCTGGTCTGAGTGGATCAGACACAGCAGTGCTGCTGGAGTTTTTATACACTGTGTCCACCAACTGTCTACTCTATTAGACACTCCTACCTTCTTGGTCCACCTGCACAGACTGTGTTGGTCATCCTCTAGTCCTTCATCAGTGGTCACAGGACGCTGTTGGCTGGATATTTTTGGTTGGTAAACTATTCTCAGTCCAGCAGTGAAGTGTTTAAAAACTCCAGCAGCACTGCTGTGTCTGATCCACTCGTACCAGCACAACACACATTAACACACCACCAGTGATCCACCAAACAACTAATACTTGCTCTGTGGTGGTCCTGAACCACTGAAGAACAGGGAAACAGATGTATGCAGAGAAACAGATGGACTACAGTCTGTAACTGTAGAACTACAAAGCGCACCTATATAGTAAGCGGAGCTGATAAAATGGACAGAGTGCAGATACAAGGAGACATGCTTAATGAAGTGGCTGGTCGATGTATAATGATTTATCAGTGTCAATAAGTTTAGCTTTTCCTGCCATCACAAACTTATTTAGCAATGAAAATAATGTACACAGGAAGTTTTGCTTTAAGTTTGCAGTAAGTTTTGCTTTTGGTCCGACATTAGAAAGTTTCATCTTGATAAAAGGGAGCATGGGAGAAGTTGAAGCCTGAAATATTCCACTTCATTACATTACCCTTCAACATAACTTCAGTGTAATGTAGGTAAACTTCTCAGTGTTATTTTGTACAAACACATATCAATAGTTACTGTTTATAAGTATAAACAATATGTAATAGTACCAAAGGATGGAAAAAATGTTTTCAAAAAATTAAAATTTGCATATCCATTTAGCTCTGATCTCATGGAATGACTTGTATACAGAGAAGATATAATTTGCTGAATTTACAGTACTGTGAAAAGGTTTTAGGAACCTGAGAAAATATATTTAAAAAACTATTTATTTTATTCTAATATTAACTACAATAATAAATATTAACTACAATAATATTAATTTATTGTGATTTTTACATATCGTCACTGTCCAAAGAAAAACAAATATTTCCAAAACAGCAACTTTATAGATATATATAGAGAGCAAAAAATAAAGATTTTATTTCTTGCTATTTTGTAGCATTTCTATTGGGCCATTCATCATGAAATTTTCACACAACGTAAAGGACAGCTGCCGTGGTCAAATGATACAGATAAATAAAATGGACAAAAAAATGGAGATAAGTGCTTTTCTTTGGACAGCGACAATATGTCAGAGTGTCCACTTAAACATTTCCAAATTTCTCCTTGAGGAAGTCCAGTCTTATAGTTGCCATTCAATACCTGCTTTCTAATTAATACTTCATTATGTTAAATCTGGTGATCGGCTGAAGGAATTTAACAAGTCCATATGATGACTGGGAGCTTCAGGAACCAGACATTTTCTCTTCAAAGTAGCTCAGAATATATGAACTACTTTTTTGAAGATCAGAAAAAATATAAAAATATGTGCTTTTACAAAAAAAAAATATATATATATATATTCGCAAGATAAATGATGTTAAGTAATGTGCTTAGGTACCTCATGTTTTTGCTCACTACTGTGCAAAATGGTTACAAGAGACAAAGCTTGAATATTTACATATGATCTAACTTGCAATTCTAATATGCATATGAATATTATACATTCATGTATCTTTCCAGATAATGGACAGAAAAGCACTATATTTCACTAGACAAAGTGCTAGAAAGATTGCAGTCTGATATTAGCCAATAAAGTGTCCGTGCTTCACAGCTGAGAACCATGTCATTGTGTGCTGGGACACTGCAGGTAGGTGGACAGATTAAGACTAATGACCATTCTGCTACTGTCATGGAAACCAAAAGCAGGAGCCACTGGGTGCAATGCACAAACACACACACACACACCCACACACACACCCACACACACACCCACACACACGCGCACACACACACACACTAGGGCTTCAAAATATCACGATATTGGCCTTTGCAATACTGACCTTGTACAAGACTGCAATACGCAAATGAGCCTCTAACCAATCACAATGGTTTTTACTACATGCTGTGAACATCTTGGCCAATCACAGTTCCAGATGAGTGCTTCTGTGGGTCGTTTAATGAATCAATGAGTTTACATGTTTCAACAAAACCAATTATGCTTCTTTATATTGCAAGGACAATTGCAACTGCAATATGTAGTAATGTAAAAAAAACTCTTTCCTGTAGTGAAGTGCTCATAAGGCTACATGACAACTGACATATACCTACATAAACATTTATAATCACTTGTTCTGACAGTTGTCATTTATCATAAAGGTTGCATTTGCCAGCTTTGACATCAAGCTGACATAACATCTGCATAAGGTGACAGATTTTTTCTGACATTAGGTTGTGTCATGACACCATCTGGGGTAAATTAATGACATTGCCATTGTAGCTCAGTATATGTTACAGTGACATCATTTTGATAATATGACTTGCCAAATCAGGCTGGCTGAGCAAAAGTGAGCATTTTTGTCACAAATGGTTTATTACAGTTTTGATTGATCGATTAATGGAGAAAAGAAAAAGTGCAGCTAACAGTCTGTAAATAAATGCCCTTAAAAACAATTTCAGTCAGTGGGAAAGGTGCACATATAATAAAAGAACAATGTATGAACACATTTTACATGTCATTCCAAGCATTATTACGGTGCTAGTTTGCTTTGGCAAAAACTTTCCATTGCTATTCAAGTAATTTCTCCTCTAAAGATAAAGCTAAAGCTAAGTGGATTCTAAAGGAAGTCCAATGAGGCCTTAAGGTAGTTCTAATTTTCTGGATTGTTATCTTGAGATAACGAGTTATCTTGTTATCTTGAGAAAAAAATTGGTAACCTGAGATAACAAAATAACAATAAGTTGTTATCTTGAAATAACCAGTTAGTTATATTGTTATCTCAAGATAATAAAGTTGTTATCTTGAAATAACCAGTTATCTTGTTATCTTGAGAACAAAATTGGTAACCTGAGATAACAAAATAACAATAAGCTGTTATCTTGAAATAACCAGTTAGTTATATTGTTATCTTGAGAAAAAAAATGGTAACTTGAGATAACAAAATAACTGATATCTTGAAATAACAAGTTAGTTATCTTGTTGTCTTGAGATAATGAGTTAATCATCTGTTGATCAAGAAACAAAGCTGTTGAAATAAAAAGTTAGTTATCTTGTTATCTTGAGATATAAAAGTTATTATCTTGGGATAACTAGTTAATTATCTTGTGATCTCAAGATAAAGTTGTTCTCTTGAAATAACAAGTTATCTTGAGATAACAAAAGTTATCTTGAGATAACTAGTTAATTATCTTGTAATCAAGATAAAAAGTTATCTTGAAATAACAAGTTAGTATTTTGTTATCTTGAAATAACAAAGTTGTTATCTTGAGATCACAAGATAAGTAAATTGTTATCTCAAGATAACAATCCAGAAAATTATAGCAACAGCTCATGGCCTCTGCGGACTTCTGTAGATTCGTCTGTGTGGTCAGTAACATTATTATTACGTGTAATATTACTGAGCACACAGAATAAGCCACATCAGACACTCAGGACCATACAGCACACATGAAAAAGCACTAAACCTGCATGTGATGTCAGCATTTTTAAAGACATCCATCCACATGAAAACACATGAAAACATTACAGAAAATGGTGGGGTTTTTTACAAACTCAGTGACTTAAAACACTGTTTTCATCCATTTCACAGAGAAAAAAATGTGTTTTTAGAAAAAATCCATATCTGTGAAGACAAGCAAGTCTGTGTGCATCAGCGCACAGTCAGATAAAAAACAAGTTTAGGTTAGCTGCGTGGTTTTGACAAAAATGCAGCTCATCCCTTCAGCTAACAGTGTTTATTTCACTGAAATAAAACAAAGCTCGCTGAAAAGCAGATGACACTGTTTTTAATAGTTTTTACAGTTACTCACCATGTCATGTTTCTGCTGTGATGCTCACTCATGACAGTTGTGCACTCGTGCCTGGTGAGCTCAGTTTTTTTTTTTTACTTTTCAGTCATGCACAACCCTGTAGTGTAATCTCTGCCATCTCTCTTTTCCTGCTTTCTGTCAGGTGATGTAAATGTGGAGCACAAACCAAAATAATCATCAAGCCAAAAAATTGAAAACAACATTTGCCATTGATTTTTTATCAATGCTACCGACAACGTCAAATAGTTGTTTTAGTCCCAATTATTACTGTGGTACACATTAAGCTACAAAGTCAGTTGTAGTATTTAGTACATATGGTGCAGCCCAAACACACAGACACTATAGAGTTAGAGTCATTTTTGTACTCACCACCAAAGAGAGGGGTCTTTTCCATGACACTACTCCAATCAGACCTGACAGCAGCACCTGCAGAGAAAAGAAAACAATTTCATTTGCCGGTAGTTCGAAGCAACAACCGCAGCGAGCTGCTGGACGAGTCAATTTTAGCCCGTCGTCAGTGGCAACACCAGGGGAAATGAAGGAGGGTGCCACCAGGGACATAAAACTTGCCCTCCTCACGGGCAATGTGAAAACTTTGTGAATATTTCAAGTGCAAGGACAGCCTTGTGGTGCGATAACGCAGCCTGAAAAACGCTACAAACCCCGCAGGCGCAGCACAGCTATCACACGCTCAAGCTGAGTGTTTTCATAGCCACTTTTACAGTAGCTGCAAGCCCTTTCCCCCACTCACTCTCTCCTTCACCCTCTATTACCCACTAACACTCCCTCCTCCAGCCCATTGCTCTTTTTGTCACTCTCTCTCTTCCTCTCTCTCTCTCCCATATCCAGTGATACTCTCCTGCTCACATACTCTTTTCCCATGCTAGCATCATTTAAAAGCCTAAATATTATATTTTCCAAGAACTTGACATTAACTTTTTTAGTCATTAGTGATTGCGCAATGCCACTGTTATCTGATTTATATTCTTCTTCTTATTATGGCTGTGCACTGCAAAGAAATGCTGCGTAACTCATCCCGCAGTTTTCGAGATATCAACACTGTTCCAACTCCAGACTGTCCGATTGTTTTTTGATCGGATGCACAGATTCCGTGTAGCATTAGAATTTTGTGTCATTTTTTCCCATAGGAATGAATAGGGTGAAAAATTGCATGACAATCTACTGTACTTCTGCTTGACCGAAAGACATCATTTTGCATATACTATCTCAGGGCAGGCCCCCAAGCACAAATTCACTGTTGTTCTGACCTGCACTCCTCTGTTTGTCTTTTTTTCCTCATCCCTTGTTTCTCTCATAGAGTCCCATTCATTTTTGCCCCCTCACAAGCCTAATTATTTTTTTGCCCGACAGCCACCAAACTCCCTCAGGGCAAGTTCTCAAACTCTACTGCACAGCCATACTGACCCGCACTTCTCTCTGTGTTGTTTTTTCATCCCTTGTTTCTCCCATAGAGTCCCATTCATTTTTGCCCTCACCCAAGCCCTATTATTTCCTTTACGCAACAGCCACAAAAATGCATGTCCTCACTCAGGGCAGATCCCCAAACTCTGATCCACAGCCATACTGACCCACACTTCTCTATGTTTCATTTTTTCATCCCTCCTTCCTCTCATAGACTCCCATTCACTTTCAACAACACGTAGCTAGCCTCCTAAAAAACACTCAGTAAACAATCCATACAGCATAGTAACCGCCTAGCAAAACCTTAGCAACTGCGCGCAATTTTCCTCAGGAAATGCACTATTCTAGTTATACAGTACTGTGGAAAAGTCCAGAGACCACCCAAGTTTATTCAATTTCCAGTTAAAATGACTCTTAAGGTGAATTTATTCATTTGTTAGCTTCAAAAAAACATATTTAACAGAAAATTACACAAAAGCCTGAACACTAAGTATAACATTAAACATATCAGTATTGTAGCGAACCGCTACTGGCTGGTGCTGACAAGCTCAGGAGGTGTGACCCACCAGCAGACACGCAAAGGCTCATGGCAGGCGTGTGCCCTCCTAAAGAGGGAGTACATGTGGTTTAAATGTCACTGTTTGCCAGTTATAAGGTGTATGTATGTAATATATAATGTGTCTGTGTCAGGAGCGGGGTTGTTGTGTGGGTATTTGTGTAGGGGGTTGGTCGCCATCAGAGTGAAGCCGGTGGCTAATGGTGACCTCCCCTGCAGGTTGAGTGCTCTGTGTGTGCCCTTTCTGTCAGTGTGTTAAGAGCACTTCTAACAGCAGAAGCACGGCCTCCTCTGTGTCTTACTGTCTGTCAATGTCACAGCATTTCATTTGCCCATGCTTTACTTTTATGCACTCCACTGCCACTTTAACTCTTCCACTCCTCCAATCTTCAAATCAACCAGCTATAGCTGCGTTCTTCCAATTAAAGCTGCTCCCAAAGGACTAACTGACATTATGTTCCCCTTCAAACAGACACTAATGTTCACACAAGCAACTGCCCAAAAATACTTTAGCTGCCTTGCAAATTTCTTTCTCATGTACATAAATAAGTGAAACATTTTCAGGAGTTTCCAAAAGCAGACATACAGAGAAAATGGGATACTTAACAACCATGCAGGACTTGGAGCACTGAAACTGTCACTATTAGATAAACAGTACAGCAGTACAGTAAAGCTTTCATCTTTGAGAGGAAGGAGAAAATCAGTCTCCACTCTTACTACAGATCTGAAAAAATCTGGTGTTTCTGTCCATCCTTCCACTGTGAGAAGACAACTCAACACTATGAGTCTGAAAGGATGTGAAGCTGTCAAAAAGCTCTTACTGAGAAAAGAAAATAGACAAGAAAGGACATTTGCACAATACCTGAGTTGTGGAGTGAGGTTTTATGGATTGGAGAGTCTAAATGTTTTATTTCATTTGTATTGTGAGAAGCAGAAAATACAACCAACTTCTAAAACTTTGGAGGTTGGTGGAAAATATCTCTGCAGTTTCTTTAAAAAAACTGACAGCAAGTCTCCTGAAAAATACTGTATATGTAATGCTATGATAAGCAATCTGTATGAAAGTTTGACAAGACATGCAAGTTTTATTGACACATTCAACATTATTTTGAATAATACACAATAAACTACTCTCTATAAGCTATAGTGTCGATATGTATTGAATATCATTATGGCCCACAGTCTATGAATACACTTAGCATGATTGTTATTGATTAGCTGTGCTATTCACTCCTCTGCTGGCTAATATAGTCATACATCATACTGAGACATGCCAGAACAATTCTGTATCCTCATCTTAATTTTTTTCTACTTTTTCTTGAGGTGGGCTTACGTGACCATTGTATTCAGTTAATGGTAAAATTCACTTGAGACCGGTCTGTTCATAAATGAGTGATCTCAATTGAATTGAGAATTTGCATAATTGATGCCTCCAAAATGCCATATAAGGCCAGGAACCCCACCCTCATTAGTCCAGAAGCGTCATTCATAAAGATGGCACCCTTGAGTAAAAAGAAAAAATAGGCCATAAGGAATAATTTGAACAAAGAAAATCAACACAAGATGTTGGTATTCCTTCCCTCCTCCTACATAGCCTGCTGTTAGTGTGTGTGTGTAGGGTTGTTGGCTGCTGACTGGCTACAGCTGCTAAAGGAGAACCCTATGCTCCCTACTTTTGATATTTTAAACCTCTGGTATTATTACATAAATCGTTATGGCTATATTTAAAAAAAACAATAATGCAGTGGGTCCACCAGACCACTGAGGAACAAAAACATGGGTTAAATTAATACTGAATTAAAGATTTTCTTATGCAATCCAGTAAAAAAAGGCAAATATTAGATTAATCTCACAATTGTACACCATTTACTTTGACTTAAATGACTGCTTTTATTATACCTTTCTATAACCTATATAACTTATAGCCAATTTGCATGTTGTCCAAGAAATCTTAATGTTTTATCATGACAATGATTTACACTATAATATCGTCCAAGCTTATTATATGTACAGTCGTATGCAAAAGTCTAGGTGCCCCTGGTAAGTGCATTTCTGCACATTTGAATGCACAACAACTGCTTACTGCTGAATTGTTTGGGAAAATAACATGACATATGGCAGATTTTATATCACTGCTGTCAGAACAAAACCTCGTATTTCCAAAACAATAGCTTAACAGGAGAAGAATAAAAACACGTTTTACTTTTAATGTAAGTCAATGTAACCAGATTCTATCCCAAGCCAGTTTGGCCATTTCTTTTGGTCCATTCATCATCAAATTTACCCACAATGAAAAGGGTAACAGGTATTTTCAAATGATGTCAGAAACTGAAAAATGAGTAGAGGATTTGTTAACTTATTTTCACTTTAAAAATCAATAAGACATGTAAAACTGACCAGAGATATTTTTGCATATGATTGTATTAGCAAGAGCAGCCACAACTTCTGCTACACATCAAAGGCACAGAAAAATAGGGGACACGCCAAGAATGCTACGAATTCAAGTCTGTTTGGTGCCAAAACACAAGAACAGATCAGTGTGACTAAGAGATCAATCACACTAAAGATTACAGAGATTACGTTATTGTGCACGATCACAAAGGAAACGCTGAAATTTGCTAATAGCCGCTCAGCGGGAAAAGGCAAGAAGCCAAAACAAGCCACAGATCAATGCTAAAAACACGGCTAAACTAAAAGCACATACAGCAAAAGGCCACATAAGGACAATAAGTGCTTAAATATACTCAAATCACTGCCATTTAATGAGTGAAAATGGCTGATTTAATATTCACATGTAGCAAAGGGACCGTCTCCAAACTGGATAACGCCACTGGCTAATAGAGTGTGTTAGCGTGTGTTTTCAAACTGTGCACACTGCAGTCTCTGGGGAACAAGACAATTTGATTTAAATGATAATTTGATGTCATCATTAGAATCTTCCTGCAACTGGCATACATTTGTTCCCGCTGCTTGGAGGGGGATTATATTTTTCCAGCTACATTATTTATTTTTTTTCACAATTGCTGTTGTATTTATTTTCCCTTCCTATTTCCATAATGCATAAGAGAGAAATGGAGTGGGGGGACGGAGAAAGAGCGAGGGAGGCATAATGGGAGGAATAAGAAGTGGACAGAGTGAGAGAGAGAAGAAACAGAGGAAGAAAGAGGGAAAGAGAGGAGAGAAAGATGTGAAGGCTTCACTTTCTATTTTGTCTTATGAATTATTGATCCCACATTCAGCTGGAGAGAGAGATAGAGAAAGACAGAGAGAGGGTATAGAGTATACATAGAGTGTGTATATATATAAATATATATAGTTTAGAGGCAAGAGTCAAAGTTTCACACACGCTTTCACAAACCAATTCACACCGTCTCTCTGCATTACAGCAAACCTACTCCATAAATAAAACACACACACACACACATACCGTCTACTCTATCAGGTCTGT